CGAAGTATCAAATGGCGTCTGGCAGTCTCACTTCCTACTTCCCTCCCTGGGTGGAGCTCAAACACCCCCGCCTCTGTTAGTACACATTCACTGACACAAACATTTGTATCATCTGTTGTAGTCACCTCATTTACTGATATCAAAATCCTTCGGGATCGCTTAAACAGATGGTGGATCTGAGCCAAGCAGTAAACTTACATAGACTCAATAACTTCTGTTAGGTCAATTAGTAGGTCTGAGTAATTTGCCGGAATAAATGATCAGGCCCCTGACTCCAACAGCTGGGAAACTGCTCTCATGTTAAGAAGCATCAGATCAGTGCATGCGCTGCATCGTCCAATCAGTGAGTGATACACAGTAAGGGGGTGGGGCGAGTGGATGCACCGGAGGATGGTCCGGTGGTTCCTCGATTATCGCTCCTCCGTTATCGATCCTCGGTCCTCTGGCACAAATAAGCGCCATGGGACGCTCCTCAACATGGCGCAGAAAAATCCACTTCCTGTGAGACCGAGGAGTGAGGAAATGAAAAATAAGTAACTTGAGATCCACCCATAGATGTGCCCGTTTTGTGTTTGAACTTGATGTTCAATAACGCTTTTACTTTTTTTTTTTGCTGTTCAGTCAGCAGGAAGTGTTTTAAGGCAGAAATAAATACAAAATAAGGAAGCAAAACGTGTCACAAGGTTTTATTTAAGAGGAACAAACTGAGAAATGATGCATACTGAAAGTAAATCCTCCCAGCAGTACATCAAGTCTCTACTTTAAAGAGTCCTCTCCTGCTGATGTTCAGGTGTATATCAGTATGTAGTGTCTCTACTTTAAAGAGTCCTCTCCTGCTGATGTTCAGGTGTTATCAGATGGCACACNTTTGTAGTGTATTGGTCTTTTGTAGAGGTTTTTCATTGCCAGCAAAAATCTTGCCTAGGGCAGCAAATTGGTCAGAACCAGCCCTGGTGTCATCCCCACTGTGGGGATGACACCAGGGCTGGTTCTGACCAATTTGCTGCCCTAGGCAAGATTTTTGCTGGCAATGAAAAACCTCTACAAAAGACCAATACACTACAAAAAGAGAAACGTATTGACATGGTGGACAGCTTATATAAAAAGGCTTCAAATGTATTTAGTATTGATGAACATGTTTTAATTGGGGGGTGGACTTCACATCCTCTAAGGGGGTCCGGGGGTGTCCCCCCGGGAAGATTATTTTTAACATTTTTAAGTAAAATACTTCAATCTGGTGCACTTTGAGCGCCCAATTACTAGAGACTGATCTAGGGGATGCAACTCTAAACACCCATGTGAAAAAGATCGGTTTGTATGTGAACATATCCAATAACCTACCATAGCCAATAACAAATAAATGTAGGCTAACTTGTTTTATTTTTGTGGTTCATTCATATCTTATTTTATCAGTTAAAATTTATTTATTTATGCATATTTTTAAATCTCTCCAGTTTTAAACAATATTTTTGGTTTACTGTCCTATAGTAGACATTGGAATGATTTACCGGTGCACCCCCTCTCTCTATCTCTCTCTCTCTCTCTCTATCTATCTATCTCTCTCTCTCTCACTTTGGCTGTGAGCTGCGGGAGCCTGATAAGCCAACACCCCCCACTTTCATCACTTACAGCGCCCATCGTACAAGGCAAATGGAAAATGTAACCGGGGTGAAAAGGGTGTTATCTTTACTTAATTATGAATGTTGTTACATCAACGCTGAAAATTCGTTTTTCTTTTGTATTATATTTGCATTTAATCTTGTGGAAGTGCAGATCCCCTGTCCTCCACCAGGGCTCAGCACCCCTACTTCCCACGGCCCTGAATGCAATTTCTCCATAGGATTTTGGAAAGTCGGATAATCTCCACATGTCTACCCTACTTTTATAATTTTTCAAATCATAAATCTATCGATCATAAATCTATCGATTAGGGTTTTCCGTCACTGTGGCACTCTATTGTCAGGAATGTTAGCCTGATATCAAATAGTGGATTCTACTGCAGCAGACTGTTGCACGTCTGCACAGTGTTATATGTTCACAGCTCAGTGTCAGTAGATACTGTGCTGCGTTTAAATCCCTGGCGGCGCCCCTGAATGTAGGCCTACTATACTTAAGGCGAGACACTACAGGTGAACACAGTCAAATGTGTATCTAATAACGTCATCAAAATCGCCACATTGATATGCAAATTAGGCGTTAACTAGGCCTAATTAAAATGCGCTAATCTGCATGCGGTTACCAAGGCATTGCAGGTGAAAAGGATCAAACAAAATCACCTCACAACTTCCCCAGATAGTTACTNTGTGTGCCTACACACACTCTCCGCCTCATTCTGTTTTCATTTACACGTTCGTTATCTGATCAGCTTCAATCTTGTAGGCTACTCACTTCGTTTCTTGTAGCCCTCGAAAGGGTTTTGGAGGTTGATCCCTCGGTGAACGTGAGTTGAATGGCTTTCTTGTCCGCAGCAGCAGAAAGCATTTTCGAATGTTTGAATGAATCAAAGTGGGTCGCCACCGTCGATTTTCTCTTATGCTCCAACACACAGTTGCACGGGGTGCAGAATAGTTTCCCCCCACTTTTTTCCCCGGTCTTTAGTAGAAATGTTTGTTGGTAAATGAGCTCTATACAGTGTTGTTTACATTCTGTGATGCGCGAGCTGATGACGTCACGTCAAGACGAGTTAACTTTTTTTTTCTTCTCAACTTTGTGTGGAAAAATGCGGGGATTATGCGGCCTTTTGATAAATATGCAGCCTTTTAAAAATCTGCGCCATTTTGCTGATTATGCGGTAAATTCTGCGATCGCAGAATTGCGTTTTTCTGGAGGGTCTAACTATTCACATCTTACACTGCATTGTAACTAGGGCTGCTCAATTAATCGTATTTTAAAATCGTATTTTAAAATCGTATTTTAATCGCGATTACGATTATGGCTTGCAACGATTACGAAAACAATGTAATCGAAATAAAACGATTATTTTTGTATTCATTTTTTTTCATTTTTTTTGGGGGATTTTTCAGTTGAATTATACTTAAAGTTCAGGGTAATCAACTGTTAAAAACATACTGTTCAAATGTTTTTTCTCCAATAAATTGATGTTTTCAAAGTCAATGAATAAATCGCATTTAATAATCGCAATTACAATTATTGACCCAAATAATCGAGATCATGATTGTTGCCATAATCGAGCAGCCCTAATTGTAACTTTTATTCATGTATTCATTTTTTATTATCTTTGCTTTTTAATGTTTCAAATGTGTTTAATGTCTTTCATTTTTGTAAAGCACTTTGAATTGCCTTGTATTGAAAAGTACTATATAAATAAACTTGCCTTGCATTGCATTATTATTGCATGATACAACCAGACCGATACCTAACTCTATCAACCAAACATGAATGGTAAACATAAGGCTGAAATGCTGTAGATGGCGATGTCATTTCAACTTGAAGTTGGGTCTGATCTGCAGCTCCACCTCAGAAGATTTGCTCCACTGCTCCACCATGTCTCTGGGCAGCAAGATTGGGATTTATGACCCGTAGAAACATCGCTATTCCACCTTAGTAATTCCACCTGAGCACGGAGAGGGGCAGATGACAGTCAGTCCTTCAATCACTGCATGGATTCCCCCTCAGCAAATCTCAGAGTGGACGCCACAGCCTTCCCTCCATCATCTTTCATAATGACACACACACACCACGTCACTCCGTCTATCACCTTTTGAGACATGTGTGATGTACGTGCAGCCACACTCAGCTCACCCAGCAGACCCAATCCTATTAACGACAGGAGCTCATTGGTTCTTAACCCCTTTAACCCCGCTGTAGCCTTCACTCTGCGCGTCATCTCCTGCTCCATCACTCAGGAGGACAAGTGTTGCTCTCCATTACTGAAACCCAGTCAGTCTTATTCACCGTTCAACACCAGGGCTTACTGTGTCTGCGTTAAGATGTTGTGTTAATACTTCCTGTAGACAGTAATGACTTCCTGCTAGAGGCAACACCCAATGACGATGTGTAACTGTATATAAATAGTCTTGGGGACAATGTGTGACTCTAATATTAAAGCCAAATATTTGACTTTTACAAACAACATGATTTTTGTGTAAATGTATAAATACAATGCACATGAATTATATGCATATTATCATTGGATGTGAGGTTACTTGTAAATAGATCATGTGATTCCTTATTTGATTTACCTAAATGTTACATGTCAATGTGTTATATAAAAAAAGTGAAATGTGCATAAGATACATATGACAAATCCTTTAATGAAGCTTAAGAGATAAGTCTATTAATCGATTAACTAGTTGACAGAAAGTTAACTGGAAACTTTATTTGTTATTGTTCATAGTTTGAGTGATTTTTCAAGATATTAGATATTTCTGTGTTCCTAGCTTCTTAAATGTGAATATTGGCTGCTGTTCTTTGTTGTATATCATTGGATTGGATTTGAAATGTTGGTCAAACAATAAAGTGACTTACAGAGGTGAACCTGGATTTAGATAAAAAATCCATTCTATGTATTTGTCTATTCTATTTTTGGACAATTTATAGAGAATTGAAAAGTAATTAATCCAAAAAAGGTATTGGCAGATTAGTCAGTGAACATAACCAGTAGTTAGAGCCCTGGTTTACAGTAGAACTCTGAACAACCCACAATAGATCCAGAAATAAAGGACAATATATGGTAGAGGAACCACGCAGCATGATTTCTGCTCAGGTGGGGTTATCCACAGCAGTAGTGCCCTTTCTATTCCTCGTCCCTGTTGAGAGAGAGAGAAACTATCCACTGGGGATTCCACCCACATCTCTCTGATAAGGAACACACACTCCGATAACACCTTCCCTTCATTAAATATGACACAAAATCTCCCTTCTCCTAATCAACCGTGGTCCAGGACAGCCGCGCTGCTCAAAGTTTCCAACCCCCTTCCAGGTAGAAATTCCCAAAAGACGAAAATCTCCTTTTTGAGGATCTGAGGCGACGGAGCAGCGCTGTGAAGTGAAGGTCTGCTCATTTCTTTGAGAGAGGCTAGCCATCGAGATAAGACTGTTATCAGATTGACGAGGGGAGATGAGGGGCAGGGCGAAGGCGGAGGGGTACGATCCCCCAAAATACCTCCATTGATGCTACCAACGATTTCAAGACTCATTTTGGGAGAGGAATTATTTGAAAGTTGTCACATCGGAGGAAAGATACAGTACGTAGAGTAATTAGAAGAGGGGAAACTTCAGAAGGGATTAGTGGAGAACTTAATCACATATTTCTATAGAAAAGCATTTGGAGAAGGGCTGTTCATTTTAAGGAAAGTATAGGGTTAACTAAGGGTTAAGGGCTTTCTAAGAAGTCTATTCTTACTTTTTTAGCAATATCACAGAAACTAAGCCGTAAAAACACAAATAGTTTCCAATTATTTTTAAAATGTAAGGTCATCTTATAGACTGAAATAATTGCAGATATGCAGATAAAGAGAGCCAGCTAACATTCATCCTTGCTGGCAGAACAGGTCGCTGTGTTTGGAAAGAGAGACTCGTGGGAAATTTATTCCGCACCTTCCTCCCCGACCAGCTGTTAGGCGTCCACAGCTCCACGGGAGAAATGCTGAGCTCTATGACTGTGTGCCACCGTTTCTTCTTCCTATCTCTCTCTAACACACATACACTCTTTTATACCATGCATGCTGGGAGTGGGACCACAGTATAAAGTGACAAAAAAGGTGACATGTTAGAGACGTGCAGTAATTGGTAGACACGGCTGGATCCCTCCACACAGGAGACACCCAAGGTGACACCGGGAGCGTTTGTTTCTTTAACAAGTGAGGCTGTGAACAGAAACATACCTCAATGTGCCTTAGGGGTATCCATCACCATCTATAGGTGGATGTAGTAAATATCATAAATCTCTCAATGGTGGGCCTACAAAGACACACCGTGTGGAAATCGAGGTCTCCTGGTGCGACTTGATGGATTGCTTTGAATTCTTCGGCCCCAGGGTGGGAACGCATGGGCCAGCTGCAGAGAGCCGGCATCAGACAGTGGAGCCTTTTTGTTTTTGACATGCACACATAATGCTGCAGGAACATAAAGAAATAAAACACCCACACACACAGACATGTACAAATACACAGACACAAATTAAACCACCCACGGGCATCCAAAAAACACATGCAGGCATTTTAACACAAACCACCCACCCACTGTTCATATTCTCTACTCCCAAGACACACACACACACACACACACACACACACACACACACACACACACACACACACACACACACACACACACACACACACACACACACACACACACACACACACACACACACACACACACACACACACACACACTTTCAGTTTGTTGTCTGCAGAGGATGAGGTCAGCAGTCTGCTTTTGCTTATTAACACTCGCTTTGTAGACTGATTCCATTCATCACGCTGCTCTCCTGTTGTTTAATCAACGTCTCAGTCCTGGAGCTCAAAGTCAAGACGACGACCTCTGTCTCCTCTGACGCATGATGGCGGGTGATAAATGGACCATGAACTCAGTGTGGTTTCACACATGACGACATGAAGGGTCTGTTCTTTTTGGAAGACTTTACACACAGTTCAAGTTGTCCAAAAACCTCATCAAATACTAGTTTTAGACATCACAACTTTTGGCAACATGCACTTTTTGTTGTGCAGAAATGCAGAAAGTTTTAAACAACATTGTGGGACAGCCCACTCAGCTACATTTGATAGCTCAAAAAGTAAATCTGTAAAAGAAGTAAGCCAAAAACATAGTTGAAATCTGAGTCTAGTCCTTTAAGTGTCTCGTAAAATAAAAATACGAGTCTCACAAAAATGTACTGTGAACACAAGCTATAAAACAAAAGGTGGCTTAACACACACAAAGTCGCTTTTCTTTGGCAACTAGTTTCTTTGCTAAAATTATAAGTGCTTTCCAATTGCCATTAAACTATTTAATTGTTCGTCCTATTAAATCATGGCAGCAAAATAACTAGGAAGTCCTATTGCCCTCGGTGGCATTTTGCAGTTTGCAACCCAGTATGCTTTTCTGGACATTATGACCCATAATCCTCAGCAGAGTAAATGATAGTCAGGAAAGTGTTTTGCTTTGGTGAGAACAAAACAAAACATCTTAAAAAAGAGAGACCTGGTGATCTTTTTAACAACTGACATCTTATAATATAGACTACCTTTCCTAATGCATATAAAAATGGATGTTAAAAAGTCAAATGGATCGAAAACTGTATACCTAAACATCTGGGTTAAAATTCCAGTCCAATCCGATAAGACTAGCACACAATTGAACACAAGGTATGGTGTTTTATAGAGAGTAAAAACAAATGCTTAAAAGGTTGTAATGTTCCTCTGAAAAGAAGTCCCTTAATGTCATTCTGCAGCGATACACGACTTCTGTCTGTCATCACTTCTCTTTACTTGCAAAAACAAGCCTGCCCATGAACGGAAGGACATCAACTTTTTGTTTTTGTTTACTCTTCATGGCTCATCCCGAGTTTAAAGGTCCCCTATTATACTGTTTTTCATCAATATATTATAGGTCTCAGATATATACAAAACATGTCTCTGAAGTGTTTGGCTCCAAATACCAAACAGATAATGAGTTGTAGCATCCCATAATCCCCTCTGTTTCAGCCCTGTTTCAAAAGTGCTGATTCTCTGTCTGTTACTTTAGATGAAAATAAGGAGCCACGCCCCTCTGAAAGATATCTGGTTCAAAAGAACACAATGGTGCTCTAGGAGGAGATTCAGGTGATAAGGTGGTGGGGGGTAATTGGCTAATGGTTACACAAGCCAAAAAATCGTTATGACATCATAAAGTGGCCAAAATCTGATGGGCTCATTTTCAGACAGGTTTTTTTTATAAATGGATCAGGACAAAAAGTGAGCGAATTTTTTTTCCTGAAACTTTCAGAATCTCTTGACACAGAGGGGACACATGTTGATGTATAAAATACATGAAAAAGTGGATTTTGCATAATAATAGGTGACCTTTAAAGTAAAGAAGTCGTACTAAACCATCTCAATCTGAAGTCACTGTCATGGCGGCCTGGAGTTTGGCCCGCCCTCTCCGCTGCAAGGTTCCTTCAGTGTGACATCACACGACAATGTGACGGAAATCTGTGCTGATGGAAAGCGGATTGCCACCCATAGACCGCTTTATTCCCTCCATTAAATCTGGATAATCCCATATGCTTAGCTCACCGCCACCGCCTCTCCTTTGGCCCCCCCAAAACCTTTCCCTTGCAAATTAATCAGTTCATAATCTCCGCCTTGCATCTAAACACTCGATGGAGTCAGAGACGAGCTACCGGTGCAGCGAGGAAGAGACCCCGGTTCTCCTGATTTCAGGATGCTGACTCGTTTGTTCAGACAATGCTGACACACACATAAACATGGAGCACAACATCCCAGAGCGCACATATACTGTATAATGCATTAGACACCAGCACTAGATAGTCATCTTGGGTAACAGGGTCTGTCACATTATGACATTTTCGAGAGCATTAACAGCCTCCTGAGGGGCCGTCATTACGCAATGACAACAAAGACATGAGCTCAGGACAAAACATTTTGACTTTAGAGATAAATGGAGAAACATAAATACTCTGTGGGAAATGAAAATCAGCTGAACAAGGATCCAGTAAACAAAAACTCTGTCAGTCAAGGCCGAACTGACAGGACGCACCGTTCAGAGAACAACACTCAGACTAAATAAAGTCTGAAACGTAGCTGCTGGGCGGAGTATCATCTGTCTATACCCTTAATGTAAGGCGCCATCATGTCACACCCTTTAACACAGCAACATCTCACATCCCCCAAACACCACCTGACAGCAGGACACAATATTTTCAATTATTTATCATGCTACCATGGAGGCTGATGGGATGGCAGGGTCAGGAGGAAAGAGAGGAAGGAGGAGACGGATGCAAGGAGGTAAAGAGGTTCAAGATAAACAATTGTAAAAAAGAGGAGGGCAGCTTGCAATCACCGTGGTTTAAGACAATCAAATGGGCGGATTACAAAATGTGAAGAGGAGGAGGAGAGAGGCTGAGAGGGAGGGACGGGAACATAAAACAACAACACAGAGGTCGGACAGAGAGGGCAAGCGGGCGCGAAGGGTCGGCAGAGGATTTGATATATGGACAGTTGTGAAAGAGGGCAGTGAAGCATCCTTGTGCACACACACACAAATAAACACACTCACACACCAGATGGGCCTCGAGGGATTAAAGCGAGGTTATTCGTCCTCACTGAGCTCCGCACAGAGCGGGCAGATCTAAACCGAAAGCTCCTTTTTCATTCAAAGCAACCAGTCTGATTTTTTTTTTCTGGGAGGGGATTTTCTTTTTTTAGTGTCAAACAGCCAACTCCAAAAATACAATGCCTCAATAAAGCTATGGAAAGTCCTGCTACTAAGCTTAGACCACTCAAGTGCACACAGGCACGTTTTTGTTGTTCTTTCAACCCCACCCTGACCCACACAAAATTAAATGAAAACTGAAATATTCATCGTGAACGCTGTTTTCTTCTCTGCTTGCACCGTTAAATCAGTTTAAGTGCAGCTCTCCCGCAGGAGATTATGTGAAATAATAAATGTATTTTCCGTGCCCTGGTGAGGTCATATCTATTAAATAACTCCTATTACCGATGTCTTTGACTCTGTTATTTGCAGGCCAGAGCCTTGCAGAATAACACGGACGAGGCTGAGAGAAAGAAAAACATCACATTACCTGTTGAGAAGGCACAGCAGACGCAGCAATCATGGCAGCAGCAAATGGGGGAAAACAGAGAAAAAGAAGCACAGGTTAGCATTTTGTTGCATACTAAAAAAAAGTGGAACTTGAATACAAAATTGCACATTTCCATTTCTGCAGAGATGCATTGTGGCACCACTGAACGGCACAAAAAACATTCGGAAGTAATTATTGGATATTTCATGAGTTCAATTCATACAGAGGTATAAATTAAAAAGGGGCACAGCCGATTTGTTGATATAGCATTAATCAGCGTGTCATTGATCGTTCAGCCCTCGCGAGGTCTTTTGTTTTGTCATTAGCTGCTTGAGAGTTACGGTGGTGTGAAATCATATTGACATGGATTAATATAGCAGCTTTTTTATTTTCATACAGCGAAGTTGAAATATGAAACACGCTTATTTCTCCTTTTTCTTTCATTAAAGGACTTTCTGTCTACAGATTTTTCATTATTCTTCTAAATGAATATGTATTATTACTTTTAATTCAAAGTTAATTCAACATACACACAGTTTATTAGCTCGAAATGCATACACCCATTTCTCTACTATTAAGAGATTCAAACACAATTGCTAAACAACAGCAATTTCATGTAGTTTCCTATTCATCTGACTTTGTTTGACCTTCATTCCCTTTCAATCTCTATCGAACACCAACATTAGCATACAAGAGCTTTTTGTGTCAATATCTCGCCTTTTAAACACATCGGTCAAGCAGAGGTGTTTGTAAAGTAACACAGGCTCGCATCAAAAGTAAATAACCAAAAGATGATGGCAGGATGCTCTAAAAGCCTCTACACTAATGTGCTGCTTACTTTAAGGAGAAACGCAGGTGGGCGTAATTGGATACAAGCAGACGCTCAAAATTAGGACAAGATTTATTTAAAAGACATGTGATTGCGCACTAAGGCATACATGTGTATTGATTAAACAAAAACATGGGAAATACATCGAGCTAGGTTTTCTGTGGATGTTTGTTTGTGCTGGATTTCAGAGCCTGAAGACGGACCTGGTGGGGGGTAAACATGCATGAGTACCCTTATCTCTTCTACTCCGCTGCCCTACGTTACTACCTAAAATACAAGCGATGTCACAAAGCTCAAGCCTCTGCCATGTGAGCACCATCAAACTAAACAGAGCTATACGCTAAATAGCATATTGTCTTTGATTGCCACGTTTTAAATATCTCTCTCTTCTACTCTGTCATTTGAGACTGATTTGACTGGAGGTAAACAGAGTGGGATGCAAGCCTTTTGAATCATAGAAGTAGACATCTTTAAAAATGTACTAAATGTGAAGCATTAAAGCGGTATATGAAAGCAAAATGCTGCCTGCTGATAACACAACTCTTTTATTTGTTTTACTTCCTCTAACAAAAGGAAGTAGTAACAATGAAGATGTCTCTGTAACCTTTCAACAGCTATTGCTTAAGGGTGCCGCTTTAAAAGAAAAAGCATAGATAATGGGAAGATTCCAGTAGATGTTTGTTTTATGCAATGACTCAAAAAGTGTGTTAATTCCCAGCCCACTTATTTTCCCTCGAAATAGATACATGTAAAGCCGTCACTGTGATGGGGTGCAAGGGTGGGAGTTTACGCACAATAAACAAGCTCTTTTTGAATTGGCTTAATCTCATTTGGCCTACTAATACGCAACACACCAGCCTTTAAAACCAAGTGATACAGAAACGCTGAGCCTCTATTGAAAATACATCGACAGATTATTTTTTTGATTCAATTGAAATAAGAAAATCCGCACTTCCTGTTGTTTCACTGACTCATGCCTCTGCCCCCGGGCCTCGGTTTACCTCAGCTAAACTCTTGATTATCGACAAAGGGACACGTCCAAATCAGTTCCAGTGACAGAAGCTATGAGTAAAGGGTCTTGTGTAAAAAGCCTCATGCCTGTCACAAATGTTTTATCATCTCATTGACTGTAACGGCCGCAGCAGCACTTATCGTTTTGGCGAATCTTTGACGTTGTCTGGAACATAAAAGATTCAGATGAAAGCCAGTCAGCGTGTGCAGATGTGATTGACACATGAGGCTGAGCAGCTTGTGTGGTTTCTTACTGATGCATAAACCAGACTCGGGAAAGGCTGTCCAAACACGCCTCCGACAATATCTAGGTTTTTCTTCACAGCGAGAGCAGGGAGGGTTGAAGCTGATAATAGGCCTGTCATCTCAGATCTGGTAAATTGCAGCTAGTCCTCTTTTGGTGTAGAAAGAGGAGATAAACACAGCTCCAAAACGTGACACTGCATCTGCTTCCTGTCCTTCTGGCTATGAAGCGTAAACCTTCTCAAGTTGTCGGAGATGGTTAGTGTCTTTCATTAGACAAAGACTTTCAACAAAAGGCACTAAAAAAGCTGTGAAAATAACTGCGAAACCTAAATGTTCCCAAACCGGAGACTTCAATGATGCTGGAGGATTTTCGAGCTCAACTTTATCTGCGTTCGCCATTTGGACAGTTCCTCAAATTACTGACTAAATTTGAACGCATCCCTGTGACCAGCTCTCATAGTATGCCTCTCGTCCAATGAAATGACTTGCGTTGACGCGTTGAACCCAATGTGAGCAAATTACTCTGAATGCTGCGACGCAGCACCTGAGATTACTTCCAAGAAGTTGTTCACGTTCTCAATTTTTTACGTTTAACGTTATATTTGTTCGGTACACTTCGGTACACACGTGTAGCGAACCGAAGGGCCCGTACCGAATAATTTCGGTACACCCCTAGTTTACACCAAAAAGATCTGGAACTAGAACTTTTTTTTGCTAACCTTTTCACCCCTTTTCAGACTTTCCTGGGGAGAAAAAGGTTCCAATTTCTGATTGGCTGGGCGAATTGCAAACCACGCCCCGTAAAACTCTGATAGGTTTTTGTGAAGCCGCCATTTTATTTGCTCGCATTAGCATTATTAGCATTAGCCCCGCGCACCAACGGAGAGAGACTAAGTTATGGCAACACAAAAGAAAACATGGGAGCGGTGGAGATGAGGAGGTGTCGGCGTTCTGGCGATTTACTCGGAAGGCTTCAGTAGAAGCTGCTGGGAGTCAGCAGCTTCTACTGAAGCCAGTCCCCAACTCCGGGGATTCAGGGACTTATTCCGGTGTGAACGCGATTTACTAGATAGTTCCAGGAAATAAAAGTTCCGGGAACTATTCCTGGGAAAAGTACTTGGTGTGAAAGCCCCTAATGAGAGAAACCTTTGACAATATATATAATATATTAAAATGTCCATCTGATCATGCATCTCACAAAGCAACCAGCAACCAGCACCGACACGAGAAAGGAACTGAACAAAATCCTTTGCATCAGTCTTCTATTTAATTAGAAATGAGGTAAATGAAATATGATATTTTATATGAAATTACTTGGCATCTGGACTTTATAAAACACAATATCACCAAAATATAAAAATTCTGAAATCATCTAAATTCCGTATTGGTGTACTTAAGGGTAATCTATATTCAGCAGACGGTTAACTTAACTAAGCATTAAGATTTTAAACGAGTCAAAGAGAACAAAATCACTGCCATGTTTGGAGCTCAATAAGGAACATGTTTTATCTTTTTCAGTAAATCCTAACAAAACCCAAAGCATACAAACAAAAATGTATTTCGAACAGCAACAAAAACAGGCTGGTTCAACAAACAATATCTGTTCCCTGTCCATCCTTCTGGATATTTACACAAACCAAACCCTGTCATCAAACAGAGGAAAGTAAAAGAGAGCAGAATGGAGTCCAGCATCATGTGCAAGAAGGGTACCAACAGAAAACCATTCTGCATGCTGAGGCTCAGAGGAGGATTTCTTCACGCTCTGTTTCTCGTCCGAGTGTGTGAGTGTGTGAGCGTGTGCGGCACATGTGGGTCCCAGCTTCTTTCATGTATGCTTGTGGTTAGATCGATGTGTGCTGTGTACATCTGAGCCCTCAGGAGCAGCATGCATGATGCTCCTCACAGCGAGAGGTGACTCAACAAAACTCAAACTAGAGCAACTCAGAAAAATAGCTTTATCCACTCAACAGATATGCAGCGCTAGTACAAAGTCTACTTTCTGTTTTGGAATAACATGGACATCATTTCATCTCACATATGAAACAGAAAGAAGTCAAGTGGCCCGATTTGTAGATATTATTGCCGACTAACAGATGTTCATATTCCACTCACAAGGGAAATCTTTCCTAAACTTATCTCAACTTTAAGTGAGAGTCGATTGCACAAACCTAAAATGCCAATAAGTAGAAGAAAAGAGAATAAATGTTGCACATAGACCCAACAACACACTTACACACACCAACTAGCCTATTAACAACCCAAATAAGCTAATGCGGGCCAGCTAAATAATGAGTTTCTGAGTGAGCACCTTTATAGAAAGGACTGTAATTGATCCTATGAGGCCATTAGGGGGTTTATGTGAGACTAGAAAAGGAAAGCTAAAGCCATTTCGCCGGCAGGCTGCAGCTACTTTAATCTACCTCCATCAATAACCTGCGCTAAGGACACACAGCGGGATTCAAACAGATGCATGGTCAGAGCCCGGTATTAGAGCAGAGCCTTAGCCTGCACCCGAGTGTTTTCACAAAGGTCCAGCGCGTGACCTTTTTAGCAAATCGAGGATGACAACACCGACAGAGGAAAATAAATGAGTGTAAGATTTTGTGTTCTGAGGCAAAAGTTCAGGAAGAGTAGAAAAGTTGGACACATATATTTAGTTTTGCAAGATTTACTCATACCAACATACCGTAATTAGGCTTGGCAGGTTATCAGCTGTATATACAGTAGATATTCTGATACAACACTACATATTAAACTTTGGGTATTGTGATAATACTGTCTTTACTTGGTTTTAAAGGCTGAGTTATATTAAAGTGATGCCATTTCTTTTTACTCAACAGACTTTTCTAGCCGTTTTATTATATGACTTTACGCGCTTAGTCATTAAATCCACGTAATTTTGATTATTTATCAAAAATCGTATTGTGTTATTTTGTAATTATTTTGTGAAAGCACCAATAGTCAACCCTACATTATAATCGCAATATCAAAATGGGTATTTAGTGGGCAATATCCATAGCCCGGCACTAACACAATGTCTTCTGCTTTGTTCTCCATATTATTTTTCGTAAAAGATAGCGTACACATTTTAAACCCTGAAACAAGCAAATCCTCAGCCATTACAAGTTCTGAATTGTTACAATAAAAGCACCATCTCAATGGATGACAGAAGAAACACAAGGCTCTGGCTGAATTAGACTAGTCAGCCCAAAGATCGTTAAAGTGTAATCTCGTCTAATCTCATCTGTGTGAATATTCAGAGATTCTGAAAAAAGTCAGAGAAGTAAAAATCGAACCAATGAGATGAGTGATTTATTTTCCAGACGCCTAAGTCCTAAGAATCAGCTCATGGCCCTCCGCTGAGATATACAGTTTCACTGACTGATACAGTCCAGAGTTCCTTGCCAGGTTCTCTCCATTCTAACCTCAGCATCCCGTCCTCTTGCGGCCATAAAACATCCGTCCTCAGCCAAGAAGAGAGTTATCGATATTCGAGTCAATCCATCCGCCTCAGCGAACTCCCTCCAAACGCAGGAAACCAACCATGTCAGCCCATTGCAGATGGAGCAAGAGGCCATAAAGTCAATACCGTATCCATCAGCTAAATAGGCTGCCAGGATCATGATTGTTTACGGTGGGGTGGAGATAGCGTGTGAATGTACGTCAGTCTGCTTCAGTATAGCTGAAAAAGTCTCCGAGTTGAGAAAAAAACCCAAGTAGGAGTCAATTCGCTGTGCAGGGACAATAACGATAATGCTCTTCAGAGGGACAGCCTTACAACTTCACGGGTCATCACTTCGGCTCGTGGCTGGCAAAGGATGAATAGGGAAAGACCTCCACAGTATGCTCCAGCTCACTTCCATTACCAAAAATAGTTCATTCAAAGCTGTGGGAGGGGAATAAATCCTCTGAGTACCCTAGAAAAAATGAAAAAAATCTGTGCGAAGGGTAATCATCTTCATTTTAGATGGTAACCTCCGAATGGCCCTCTCTCCTCCTCCATATCCCAGTTAGATCCGACACCTCTAACCCTCCACCTCAGCAGCGTCTCCAGCTGACAGGCCAGCTCTCCAGAGAGGAGACCCTGAGGAAGAGATGGCAGCCGTGTGACAGAGTGAGTGGCAGAGTGGAAAGCTATATCTATCCTCTGCCAGGAGGCTGCTCAAAAAAGCATGCACACTTCGTACTGAGGCAAAACTGTCAAATCGCATTTTCACTCAGAACGAGGGAGAGAAATAGATTACCGGTACATTTGTTTTATTTGTGATGCACTAATGGCCCTGCACATACTGTACTGATTTCAGAGCAGAAGGTCTCCCACCGTGAAACGCCCTTGGAGCATCTTAGCATTCAATACCTCGCTCAAAGGAAGTTCAGCAGATTGTGAGTAGCACTGATGTAATAACAGACAGTGATTGTACCGGCAACCTTCCTCCAGCTATCCACCTCTTTACCTCCTGGGATATTTGCTAACACAGACACAGAGCTTTTCTATTTCTATAAAACATCTTTCTATTGTTTATCATCTGTTTGTTAGTGTCTTTTACCAACGCACATTGAGATGTATTGTTCTAGCTCTGTGATAATCCAACACCATAGCAACACTGTCAACACAAGGTCAACAGTAACTTTGAATTCTTAAGACTATTACAATTAATCGACTAAAATCTGCCACATATGTATCCATTACATCATTTGAACACCAGAGGGTACTGACACGTGTGTTAGAGTTTTGGGGAGCCACACCAAGTTTGTTTGTGTAAAGAAAACAGAAAAACAAGATTAAAGAATATCAGATATTATAACTCTCAAAAATGACAATTAGCGTGGTAAGTCTAGAGTCTGTCTGGCTATAATTGAAGCACTATTTCTAAACCAGCTACTTGGTATAATATAAAAGAAAACACTCAAATCTGGCCAAAATAATGCCACTTGGTAACTAGGCTGCCTTGGGCAATGCAACCGCCTTGTGTCTTAATTATCCCAGGCACTGATCCGAATAGTTCTGTGCGCATTCATTCACACACAAACACCACTTTTCCAATCCAGCCCATATGCTCCCTCTGTAAACAAACAATCTGCCACCACGGACACAAAATGACCCTCGACCATCGCCTCCTTTATGCTCTAAACGCTGCTGGATGAGAGGAAGGTCTTCAGCTGATGGAGAGCAGGGCTCCCACTGTCTTTTCTGACTCATCGCAGGGAGTCATATGACCAGCTGCAACATGCCGTTTCACATTCCACGCTGAACAGATGACTAGCTGTCCTTACACACACACATACACACACACACACATTACTGTACGTCTCATTTTCAGTCGCCACAAGCATAAGTTCCATCCTACAATGAGAAAGGCTTTTCGTCAGATCGGCTTTTTGTTGGTCACATTTTTCTGCTATTCAGCTGCTGTAGGAAATAAAAGGTTATTATAAACAGATGAGACTGTTTGCTAAATTATTTCCACATTAGTTCGAAGTCTCAGTCATGAGTAATGCTTTGTGGAGGATGTAACCACAGTGGGTCTGGTTGCTACTTGGCAGTAACATTAGTGAATTTGTAATAGTGATACTGGGAATAGTTCAACATTTTGGGTAATTCACTTGTTTGCTTTCTGTTGGAGAGCTAGATGAGAAAGGTCATCCTCATTCTCTGTAAATCTGTAAGTTAAATATGAAGTTACAGCTGGTTAACGTAGCTTAGCTGGAGAGGGCTTAAACAGCAAATCTGTGGCGGAAAATGTAAGGCGGGGCCTCTCATATGTAAGCAAGCATACTCGCGATTGAGAAAAACCCAGAGTTACGGATGGACTGAAAAACTGATCAGGCAGAGGAAGAAAAATACACAAACAAACTCATGCTCATTCAAATATATACAAATCTAAATTCAAATGTATAAAGCAGGCTATCTCTCTTTGTCTGATAGAACAATACATGCACAGACCTCCATTCACACCAAACTTTTGGATCATTAAAGACATCACGCGTGGGCCCTGAGGTGAAGAGGTGGGAGGGTCAGAGGTCAGCCTCATGTCCCTTGAGGGAACAGAATAACCATCTCTGTGCAAACCACACTGACAGCATGACATATTGCTTTACTTTGACCTCTTCCACATTGTTACTTTGCTCCAGGTATTATAGAAACTTTGAAAGTCTGAGTGTTTGATGAGGCTACAAACTTGGCAAAGGCCTTGATACAAGCTATTCACTGCAAGGCTATTGTACTGGATTGCATTATATTGAACAGTTATATGTGTTTGTGTGTCTGGAAGCAGAGCCTGCTAGCACACAAAAATAGACCAGCATGAATCAACTTGAGACTGGAATGAGCTTTTCTTTGGTTTGTTTAGAAGTGTGTGCCAACGTTTTAAAGAAATCTCTGCTGACCTTATCTCTCCCCTTAAATATCTGATCCAGAATAAAATCCAGTCAAAACAAGCTTCGGGCGTAGAGTTTTCGTACTTAGATTGTCTGCAACATTAATTATTTGTTTGCCCGCTTGGATAAAAGCCTTAAAAGGTCAGCTATTATGCAAAAGTATTTTATACATCAACATGTGTCCCCTCTGTGTAAAGAGATTCTGAAAGTTTCAGGAAAAAAGATTTGCTCACTTTTTGTCCTGATCCATTTATATAAAAACCTGTCTTCATTGACATGTTACAATCTTTCAGGGAACACCCTCTAATAAGCTCACTAAACAAATATCAGTTCACAGAAATCTTATTTAATTTTTACAAGTGGCATGTTTGTATTGAACAGGTTATTTAACAGTGGAATAAAACTATTTTAGACTATTGGAAAGCACGGAAAATGTGTGTGCATCAAGAATAAATATTAAGATGACATAAACATGAAGTCATGAACACTAACCCAGACATTAGTTGTCTAATTGAAACTAGCTAAGACACTTGTAGCCAGTCTCTGCAGTCCCCTTATTCCACAATAAGGGGAGTGTCAACACAGACACCCGTCAACCCGCACTCTGCTGTTCCTCAGCGCCGCCGCTCCCCCCCCCCTCCCGCTGAAATTATGAATGAAAAGCGTATAGTAATCATAGATAACACGGCAGGGTCCGTGACAGTTTGTTTTCATCTAATTTCAAATAAACATAGTTTTGGTTTTTAGAATATTAAACTTGTTTCGCCAAATTCAGATGATAAATACAACTGTTAAGCTTGTAAAGGCATAATTACAAGCGGTAACTTAACGTCACAGCAGGCATAACAACAGCCGGTGTTTCTTCTGAGTGTTTCCCCGGAAAACAAACACAATACACACAAACGCGTCACAGATTATTTTGCGGTATTTGGCTGCCGAACGAAATCATGTACGCAGCTTGCGACGTAACTAGGGGCCGCCATTTGCCCATCCCTGATCTAAAGTAACAGACAGAGAATCAGCACTTTTGAAACAGGGCTGAAACAGAGGGGATTATGGGATGCTGCAATGGTTTGGTATTTGGAGCCAAACACTTCAGAGACATGTTTTATATATTTCTGAGACCTATAATATATTGATGAAAAACAGTATCAT